CGCCGCGCGTGCGCCGTGGACCCCCGCAGCGGCGTGCGGCCGGGCGAGCCACAATGAGCTCGAGACCTCGCCGGCATTGTCCTCCCGAGAGCTGAGAGCCGCCGGGCCGCGGAGGGCGTCCGCGCGCGGCTGGTGCGGTGTGGGGAGGCGGCGTGGACGGCCCGAAGGCTGCGGTCGCGGCCCGGGTCCTTCCCGCCGGCCTTTCCTACCGCCTCGCCTGGGAGTGGGGGTCCGAGGCCGGGGAGACAGGGACAGGAAGATTTCTTAACCGGAAAGAAAAAGCCAAGGTGCCCGGGTAAGGATCAACTGATCAAAGCAACATTTTTTAAAAAAGAGAGAAGTAGAAGTCTGTTGTCCTGTTTAAAATAGAAGTCTATGCAGCTAAATTGTTGGGTTGTGTTGGGGCCCTGAAAACATCATCCCTCGAGTTGGGAACCGAAATCTTAAGAGCACATGCCTGCCATACCTAGCTGTCCTGTTGTGTGGAATTAAACAGACACAAGCTAAAAGATCGCATGGTTTCTCTTATAGGAGAAACTCCAAGACCCAAATAAAAGATCGTAAGAAACGGGATGGGGATAAATGTTTGGCAAAATAAGAAGGGGACGCATAAAGAATGAAGATGTGAAGTGTGCATGGACCAACTCCCCGGGTTGGTTGAATGTTACCATTATGCACTGTAACGCATACTGATAAGAATGAAAAACAACAGCGGAGATGGGGCTCAGTCTCTCTGAGTCACAAACACGAAGCCCAGCCCCACCCACAATTTGGGCCAACACCAGCCAAAGGTTCTAGAAGCCCAGGAACTCTAATGAAAAACCTTTAACGTAGAGTTTCTTCACGTAGAGTACCAACTAATTATTCTCATTTTTAAGTTGTACATTATCTTTAACCAAGGATGCGTATTTTTTAAATGTTACTTTTGAACCTCATGGAGTATACTTGAAAAATAACAGGTATTTATGAGTCCAGTTTTATTATACAGCGCCTATAGCATTTCAAGTGCTATTTGAAAAGAACAAAGAACATTATTTTGTTTATTGTACCTCCTCCCTGATCAGAGATACTAGATTTTTAAAAATCCAGAAATGACAGTTTAATACACACGTGTGTACATGCGTACGCACACATACACACTCACTCTTCTTTCTCTCCTGGCCTGTTTGCTTGTAAGAGAATCTGAGCCAGTGTTCTTGCAAAAGGAAAACAAAGGCCATCTTCATTGTTGTCACAAGGAAAGCTGCCATTTCTTCGATTTACTCCTTTGAACCAGTGTTACTGAGCCTCTTCTGCAGCCAAACCTTGTGCTGCTGGGTATGATAAGCAAGGTTTTCCAAACAGAATGGCTCTCAAGCTGCCTCTTGTCCACTACGTCTTTTTCACCCACGTATGTACACTCAGTCAACTGCAGTTTCTGTGTTCTGTCCTTGGAGTAAAGGCAGCTACTGATGATCAAATGCAGACGTTCCCAGCATGTGTTGGCAATAGGGAGGCTTCAGACTCACCTAGGAAATATTTAAAATCACATGTTTTAAACAACCCCAGGGAATGTCTGAGAAACGTTTCTGGGGCTCATGCTTTTTTTTTTCCTAGAAGAAATGTGTCCCCAAACCCAAGCTGTGTGGCTCTCGAACTTAAACCCAGGTGTCTGGCTTCTGTTCCAGGCTCGCTGTGCAGCCCAGGTTGCTGAGTGTAGATGACTACAGCAGGGCCTGAACTTGTATTTCCCTGAGAAGAAAAAGCCTAAAGGGAAGGAAGAGCCCCCAGACCTGCCCCTTCTGACTGGGTCTGGGAAGGAAGTCCACCCAGTATGGGTCACAGAAAACAGAGTTTAGATTGCATCCTGGCAGCAGCCCATTCTCCAGTTGTATGAAGGTAGCCACATACCTTCTCTTTGAAGAAACCAGTAGCTGAAAGTGTTGCTTCAGAGGGTTATAGAGATAATGTGAACCAGCTCTTGCAGGCACCCTGTCCATCCGACTTGGGTCTGGGTGCTCCAGGAATGACAAGCAGCCAACCACTAAGTGAGCACACTAATCAGATCACTGACACAGGGGTCTCTGCTGAAACTACCCACTTCTCCCAGTTCTCACCATACAGTGGCCCCTGACAGGTGTGGAACTCAGTGTGCCCTGGTCTGTGCACACTGTGCTCGGGCCTTGGCAGGCACTGCCCCCGTCACATTCAGGTAACTGAGGGTCTGCAAAGGAGATCCTATCCTCATGCACCTGGGAAAGTAACTGATGTCCCCTGGGCCACAGGCTCGCAGGAGTACAACCAAGCCTGCTTATCGAGTCACCCATTGTATCCTAGGCCCAGTAGCCTTGCACTATCTCCTGTGGAAGGTACAAAGCGGGTATTGCTGTCCAGCTGTCCATTGTGCCCCTACACCTAAAGGTTACATGGTTCCAACTGAGGATGCTTCTTATGATCACCTGGGAAACTTACCCTCAGTTTGTGAACCCACCCCACCCCTCCCCAATTTAAAGCCTTTGGAAGTGAGGTCCAGGCATTGATACTTTTAAAGCCTCAGGAATTTCAATATAGTGGCATAGTCATTGTCCCAGATACCTTTAAATATCTTCCTTACATCCTGATAAGTTTTGTCTTCCACAGCCACAGCTAAAGGGGAAGATCTTTATTTGCTGTTTGAAACTCTTAACTCCTTTCTTCTGCAAAACTCTAGTTTTTCTTTGAAGTAAAACAGGGTTGGGGAAGAAAACAAAAATCTTGTTCCTATTATAAACATCTTTAGAGATCTCAAGACCCTTGGTGTGTTTCATAATTTAATGCATTCAGAATTTTATTTTGTATTACTTCTTGTTCTTACTGTATAGGTATTTAATAATAAATTTGTGTATTTGCTTCTTAATGCTTCTTCCTCCTATAAAATTGTATATTTTGGACTCCAAAGACTGCAACACTGGGCACATTCTTTGTTTCCAGAGAATTTCTCAAATTGTTGACAGGAAAAGCCCATAAAAAATCATGACTTTGTTTCCTGTTGTAGGCTCAGTTGATGCTCCAGACCCAAGGGAGCCATCTCCAAATGCTGTAGGAAGGGGCAGGAGAGAGGTCCTTGATTCCAGCCCAGGCCCTGTCCACGCCCCTCTGTAGCTCAGCCACCTCCCTTGTTAAGCTCTGCAGTTTCTGCTTCTCTGGACCTTCCTGCACTCTTCTGCATGCAAAGGACTCTTACAAAAGTACGTTGACTTATGTCTTGACAATACATTTCTTGGCCTGTCATCAAATGAGACAGCACCTGCGTACACTGTTTCCCCTTGTTCTCACACCAGCCCTGCCAGTTAGGTGTCACTGTTCCCATTTTACAAGTTGAGAAAACTCTGGCCCTGGTTAACAAGTCTGAAATTACACAGCTAACTAGGAAACCAAACACCTGGATTTGTGCCTTGTTTTTGCTGTCCCACTGCTCTGTCTGCTCCTCCATGGAGCTGCATTCATGTAGAAGGCCAAGAAAGGAGACTAGCCGCCCTCTTGCACTGCGCTCTCATCCAGGCAGTGCTCTTCACTTCGCAAGGAGAGGTGGGATCCCAAGGGTGCTGTGTTTGTCTGCAGCCTTTAGAAGTATTCTTCTGTCATCAAGATGGCAGTCACTTTACAATCCCAGGTTGGCATGGAGAGTGCAATGTTTAATTATGTTTTTCTCTATTTAGATCTAGTCAGATCATTTCTGACTCACCATAATGGTCAGAAGAGCCCTGATTAGGCACTGGTTTCTTCCTCAGTATCATCTCCAGTGTTAATGTATAGTGTTGAATTTTTTTCCCTGTTTAGCTATTACTCTTTTATATATTCCTGGGCACTTTGGGGTAGAATTGAGTTAAAGTGAAGTCACTAAAAAAAGCTAGTTAGAAATCCTTTGATGGCTAAATAGCCAAAAGGAACACAAAGACATTGTCTTTTGCCTGTGCTTGTGGGCAGGGGTTTTATATATATTGTCCATTTTGCTTCTAATCATCCTCCAAGCTTGAAGATATTGACATTGTTTCCGTGCCTGACAGTGAATAGTGATGAATCACTTGCTTAAGGACCCTGCAGGTAATGTATAAGATCAGAGTTTGAACCTCAGCCTTTTTAAGTCTTTTGCTGTTCATGGGTACAGCAGTTACATTGCTGTCCCAGTGATCAGGGTGGTAGGATCCATGATGAAAGGAGGATTTGTTGGTCCAAACACCCGAAAAGAGGTGCTTAAGTGTGTTCTCCTTCCAAAAAGGATATTGTCTGTCAATGAACACAGAGTTGCCTGGAAGCTGTCCTGCACAAAATTGTGAGTGCTAGATGTGGCTAGCCACCTCTCTCTTACATTAACGTGTTGCCCAGAAGCAGGTTCCTTTTTCCACAGGGCTGTTTAACAGTGTTGCTGAGCTTCAAGAGAAGGGCAAAGCCAGGCGCAGTGGTGCAAGCCTGTATCCCAGCACTCTGGCAGGCTGGGGCAGGAGGATGCAAATTTGAGCCCAGCCTGGGCAGATTAGCAAATTAGCTGTAACCATTTTAAAATGTAAAATAATAATCTATTTTTTCTAAAGGTCTGGGGATGTAAGTCAGTGCAAAGGCCCTGCATTCAATCTCAGTTGCACACAAAGAGAAGGAGGTGAAAAAGCTAGGTCAGTGACAAGCTCACACACAGTCCATTCAGTAGTGAAGCTTTCTTTAACATGATGATTATACACAGCTGGTAGCACTTTACCACTAAAACTAACATTTTGCTCATGAAGCAAATCTCGAGTGATCTACACAGGTGCGACTAGAACTATAACAGGAGATCCCGTGTATGTACTAAGAGCAGTTGTCATGCAGCTAAGAAGTCTGTATCCATGTGCTGGCTTCCAAACTCACTATATTTTCCCCCTTGTATCCCCATAATTGTTTAAAAAATCCAGGCAAGCTCAAAGTCTGAAGGCCCTCCCACAGCGAACCCAGGAGGGTTTTGCTGCTAAGACAGGTAAGACAGTATAGGAGACAGAGTGCAGCACCTGTGTTTCTCTGGCCCCTGGTAGTGACTTTGGTTTTTCCTTTAGTTAATTGTACATTACAAAGTTCACTGTATGCTGCTAAGTTATTTATGGAAGACAGACAGCTGGATGTCATCTTTCTCTGCCATGAAGTTAGCCATACTTAGCATTCTGTGTTTCCGAGAGCCCTTCTAAGAGTTTCTAGTCCTAGCAGGTCAGACACAGAGGCTTCTGTTAATGCACTGTGTGTTTATGAAGTAGATGAGCATGTGCTCATGGTAATGGTGGCTTCTTGGGTGCTCTCAGCATCAAGTCACTCAAGCCTTGGTCATCACTCTTTGGTCATCAGCCCACTGATCTGCAACTTGCCCAGAGGACTCAGCCACACAGATAGTTGTACTCATTTGTCAACCAGGTGGAGTGTGTTGGATGCAGGGTACAGGGCCAGGCCCTCATTCAGATAGATGCATAAGCATCATGCTTAGGAGTGTTCACATACAACACCACTATCAAACTGCTCTTCCTTCTTCCGGGCTGCGTGTTCCATTTACCTTGGTCTGGGTATGACGTAACTGAGCTCTTTCCCCTGCTTCTGGGGCTAGCCACTTGTTGTGAAGGCAGAAGAGAACTTTGCTTATTTGGAAGAAACCACACATCTTTTCCACCAAGACTTAGAGAAATGGCAGTTTGTACACAGAATTATTTTGACAGTGGTTTAGAGTCCAAGAGTATGCTCTCAGGCAGGTGATAGAATGCTCTGCTCAGCACAGCCTCCTACATCATAGTGACATCTGTTCCAGTGAGTTGTTAGGTCAGGATGCATGTGGTCCTTGACTCACTGTGGTTCCACTTAAGGTTTTGTGACTTGAGAATGGTACAAAAGCAATTAGTGTTCAGTAGAAAGCGAATTTCTGATTCTGGTGTTTTCTCACTCTATTAATATGCAATACTGTACTTTCTCGTGTTCTTGGGCAGAAGCATTAAGTCATAGCTCCCCATTAGCCTCACAATTGTGAGTGTAAACAACTTGTCCAGTGCTTTGCAGTGTGCTGTGTTCAGTAAGTCTCATGAGATAAGTCAACACTATTACAAAACAGATTTTGTGCTAGATGACTTTGGCAAAGTGCAGGTGATGTGTAAATGTTCTGAGCATATCTAAGGACAAGTAAGTGAAGTTACGATGCGCAGTCGGTTAGGTGTATTAAATGCATCTTTTACTTATAGCATTTTCAGGTTTGGATGGGTTTGTTGTATTGCAACCCCATTGTAAGTGGAGGAGCATGTTACTGCTCAGACAGTTTTTTAAGTGGCACTACCGAGAGGACTGTTTCCCAGCACTCAAGCCAGCCTGGTTCTCTGAACACTTCTCTCTCTCACCGTGCTTTTCTGTTCTTGTGGATGGTCATAATCTTGCCATCCAGGGCATTTTGACTTTTAGAATGACACCTTCCCAGTTTTGGCAAAACTGCTTTCCATGATGTTTGAAGAATATTGGAAGCTGAGAAGAGTGCCAAAACACTGAAAATGTGCAAATGGAATCTTGGTTGGGATGAAATAGAGGAATCTTATCACTTATTTCCTGTTTTGGAGAATTACTTGGAGTTAGTGTGTGTATAGTGGGTGAGCAAGTTATGCTGGGGCAAGCAAGTAATTTCTTTTCTCTCAACTTGAAGCTGGTAGATGGGCTTACATAGCAAATGATTGGCATGCAGACCCTCAAGACAGCATTGAGAACCAAGGGCTGCAGAATAAGAGGGGAAGTATGCAGATTAATAACTGGCCCATTGAGATTTACTTTTTGCTGCTCCAGGGTCAAAATGGAAGAAAGTTTCATTTGATATTTTCAGACCTAGCAGTGCTATGAGGACTTTTTATGGAGAACTAAGGCAGCCCTGAGGGCATGGTGAGGGTGAAACGGCAGACTTCTGATTTCCATGCCAGCTGTCCCTCAAGGGGAGCCCAGCTTTTTTTTTTTTTTTTTTTTTTTTCTTCTCCCAAGTTGTTTGAGACAGTGTCTCACTATGTAGCCCAAGCTGGCTTCAAACTCATGGGATCACAGAGCAGACAGTTTCAGTCTCCTTGAAGGGTAATTTGTTGACATGAAAATTGAAAGTAAAATTTTCTGTCAGAAGAAGGAAGTTTGGAGATGTTTGAAGGATGTAAATGGCCCTGAAGTTGTAGTGATTTCAAGCCTGGGTTTTCATTTGAATTGTCTGAGACCTCCCTCTCCCCAACACACACACACACACACACACACACACACACACACATACTTGGATTGACTGGCCTTAGGACACAGCCCAGGAATGTCTGTTTTGGGGGAGCTGAGGCCCCTCCAGTTGCAAACCCCTGGGCCAAATGCCATATCGGGGAAGCTGCTGTGTTTGTTCTTTGGCCCTGTGACTTTCTTAAGGTCCTTCTGTAGCTCTGGCTTTCTTGGTTAAGCTAGGAGAGAACGCCAGTGTGAGCACATGGAGGCTAGTAGCATGCTTATAGTTTTCCATTGATCGGCAGCATCAGGCTAGGTTTAAAAATCCTCTAATCCATCCTGCATTTTCTGGATGACTGAGCCAATACAGATGGGTAGTTTGCTTGCGGTCACTTCAAGACTAACAGAATTCTGGATGTCACTTCTGTTTTCTCCAGAACCAGTGCAAAATACGGATATAAGACAGCTTCTCCTAGTGACTGCTCTGAAAGGCCCACTTGGTGCGGGTAACGGAAATGCAGTAGGGTAGAAGAAAGTCCTTGTCTTTGCCAATGTTCTTCTTTCACCAGTTCAGGGCATTCATCTGTCCTATCCCAAATCAGGGTCCTCTGACCTAGGTATGTGTTGGAACCTGAAGGGGACAGGCAGCACCTTGGCCCCAAGGGCTCTGTCCATTGGATGCCTGCATACGCAGCATGTGGTCTGGCAAGTCTGACCAAGTTCCTAGATGTGAGAGAGTTTTGTGCCGAAAATTGCTTTTGAAAGAAAGTAAATATCTGTCATTAGAACAGAATTGGAGAACATTACAGAAGAAATACAGCTTATGATCAAATATGAAATAATCATTTAGAAATTTCCAAAGCTGCTTTTGGAGGGCATATTCACATCTGAATAAACAACAGTTGTTTTATTTTGACTGGATAGAGGGCCCTGTCTGCGCCCCGAATCAGGCTTTCAGACCAGCTTTGTATCCTTAGGTAGCTCTGTTTGCCCCTATCATCGAGCAAACTACCTGCTTCCTCTGTGTGCCTCTAGGGGCTTGGAGAAGGACTTTAAACTTCAGAGGTCTTTCTTACACTCTGGAGCATTGTAGTCATCATTGAAGGAGTTCTGGGAGTTTGTATAAGTGTCCTTATTTAATTTTAATTATTATATGAAAAAGGCAAGGTTGAAAAGATGCAAACAGTGTTAGAAAAGCTTGTAGCCAGTCTCGCATTAGCATGGTTTTAGTTTGGTTCTTGGTTCTCTGCAGTCTAAAAAAAGTCTCTTGAAAGATTTTGTAAGCTTTAGCCACTGTGCAACACGTAACATGTGTATCCTGGGAGACTGTTGAGCTCTAGAAAACATTAATCGTGCCTGTCTCAGTCCAAGCCATTTGGTTTCCTTGCTAACACTGTGTTGTCTCTCACAGACTGGTCTTCACAGCAGTTGGAATATCAATCAGATCATGTCCTTCTCTGTCTTGTGTTGAGGAAAGGCCACATTTCTATGCCACAGTGTTACAGATCAGTGATGGCAAACCTCTTAGAACTTTCAGTGATAACTGACAGCCAACTGTGGCACACAGGCTATAGGTTCACCACTACCGTACAGCTCACTGTTCACTGATCTTCCCATTCCCTCTGACCATATCTACAGCTCTCCCTTGCCTGTTCCTCTCACCAGCAGACTCACCCTCCACCACCACCACCTTGACCCTCTCTGTACTTGAAACTCCTTTTTTCTAGATATCCAAAGAGATTGCTTCTTCATTATCTCTAGATTTCTACTCAGGTACCAGTGACCTAGGTTGAGGCTTTTCCCAGCTCTTTTCAACTGAGCGAGCACCCAGATCTCTGCACACTCACATATGAGTTTGCTGTCCTTACCCAACGTTCCTTTCTAATTATCTTCCCACCGTTACGCAGTGCTTCAGTGTGCACATGTGAGTACAGGGACTGATGTGCCTTCACTTACTACCCTGTCCCCCCCAGAATAATGTCCTTGGAATAAAGCACTTGAAAGGTGCTCAGTAAGCTGCTGGGAGAGTAATTATTTCTGCCTGCCTTATATTGTCAGTCTTACTGGCCTCTTGCTACTTGTGACAGATTTGCTTGTTGAAGTAAGAGCTGGCACTCAAGCTGAACGTCAGCAGTAACAGGAAGCAAATATGAATGCTTCCTGGGGTGACTCAACACATTTGAACCCTGTACTGACAGTGCCCTGCTTGAGATTTCCTGAGCTAAAGTAAAATTATATTTGCAGTCACTAGCATGAGCTCACCAACACTGGCCAAAGGCTGTCTCTGTGGTTGCTGTGATAGCTTCCCTCCTGTGTTCATGGCTGCCTAAAGGTGTGCATTATTTTTTTTGGGTGTGGGGGGATTTAGTTTAAAAGTGTTAGTTTAGCTTTGTTGCCTGTTAATGTGTAAATAAGATCACAGCTTGAGATTTAGCATAGAATTATTAAGGGCAGTAAAGTACATCATAAGCTTGGTAATGGCAAATCTTTATGCTCTTACATTAATTGACTTATGATTTTGTTTTCCTGTAGTGATCGCCGGACTACAAGAGTTGAAAGCAGTCACATTGTGGATCATGTGGACGCATACAAGAAAAGGTTATTAAGCATAGACTGGGAATTAGCAATTGCTTTCCCTCCTGTCACATATGTGTTGAAAGATGCCTCGTAAGGATTTGTCATGTGACTCTTTCTGACTTTTAATCAGCTACTTTTAGAAATGCAAATAAAGAAGATGAAGGATATTGGAGAACAGTTGTATACGACACAAATGAATCGCGGACACAATTCCTTGACCATGTCACCCAAGCAGCCTAACTCTACTAGAGCAACTCGACCAGATAGGCAAGAAGCACAGAGTGTCCTATACCAAGGATCAGAGGCAGAGGCTGCCTTGATGACCATTGCCACATGTGTGAAGTGCAAAAGTGTTCACAAAATCCCTCTGCAGGATTTGAAGAAAGATACTGGGCAAAGCCAGCAGGAAGACAAATATGTCTGTCTCAAATGCAGCATTCATGTATCTCCTCCTCGTTTTCATTTTGTGAACAATAATCCCAGTGCTATTCATGTTGGAAATAATACTGAAACCATCTCAAGTCCTGTCAACAAATTTAAGGTAAGGAACTTTAAACCAGGCAAATACTATTGTGATAAATGTCGGTTTTCTACGAAAGATCCTCTGCAGTACAAAAAGCACACACTTCAACATGAAGAGATTAAATTCATTTGTTCTCACTGCAGCTATATTTCATACACAAAAGGAGAGTTTCAGAGGCATTTGGTGAAGCACACAGGCATATTCCCTTATCAGTGTGAGTACTGTGACTATGGTGCTATTAGAAATGATTACATTGTGAAACATCGAAAAAGAGTCCATGAGAGGGCCGGCGCAAAACGGCCACTCAAGACTGTTGGCAAGCTGGAGCCCAAAAGACTCAGTGTTTCAAGAGAAAATGTGGAGCTTTTAAAGGCTCCCAATCCAAGGACTATGCTTCAGAATAAGTTGTCCAGTCAGCTTTCAAGGTTCTCTCTCCAAGGAAATAAAGACAGAATGCACAGTGTCATGCTATTACCAGAATCAAAGGAATGCCAAAAAGATGTAGTGTGCATTCCAAATAGAATGACCCTACCTGAGCCCAATGAGGTCCGTCTGTTTGAGAACAAAAGTGTTGAGGTAGAAGTGTTGTCCCCTGCGAAGGAACCTGTGCAGCCAGGTGTGCCATTGACAGTGGTGGCCCCTTCAGAGCTCGTAGTCCCTACAAACTGCTTAGCCCAGTTGATAGATGTGAAGGTTGTCAATGGCACACAGCAGCTTGTTCTGAAATTGTTTCCAGTGGAAGAAAATAATCACCTTGAAGCTGACAGGGGTCATGGAGGTAATTCTGAGCAGACAACTAAAGAAAAGGGTTCAAATGAACAAGAAAAAATAATTGGTGTGGAAAAAACAAAGTCACTAACTATTGAAGGGAATGTTGGTAAACTTTTTGGCATTGATAGTCTTCAATCTTCAGTTCAAAAGCAGCTTAAAAATGTGAGATGGGTAAGGTCTTACGACTTTTTCATGTCAAACTCTAGTGTGCACAACTATAGAGAATCCTTTTTTCATTCTGATATGGTTGAGGATTTGCAGAGGAAAAACAGTTTTTATGCACATAGATTCACTCCTCCTCTCACCTTAAAAGCCCATTCTCCACCATCTATAGTAAAAAACAGTGTTTTCTGTGGTCTTGGACCTACATCAAACCCTTTTCCGTATAAAGCTGCTGCTGCTTTTGCTGAAGATGGAAGACGTTTCCACAGTGACTCTCAGCAGTCTTTTCCTCTTGCTGCATGGCCTGCAGCTATCTCCTTTTCTGGAGAAAAGGGTGTATTACCTTTAAGTGAAGAAGACTTCAACCCTAGAAGTAACATTAGTATTCCTGTAAAAATGCTTTCGTCTAATAGAAAGCTGGAAGATATCCAGGCAGAACAAAACAAGGTAGTTTCAAGTCTGGGTCAGATTTCCTCTCCGCATAAAAGTGAGTATTTACATATAAATATAACAGGAGAAGAAAGGGCTAAGTCCCACCCACCTGGGGAAAAGCCTGTAGAACTGAAGGATTCTGAAAGGACTAAGGATACTTTTGATGGCCCAGTCATCTCATCAGTATTTTCTCTGAGCTCTGGATCTGAAAATGTGCCAGAGGGTATTAAGTGGAATAGTTCAACGTCCAAAATAAAGTCAATTGAACTCTTGCGCAGAAAGATAGCTCAGTTAATTGAGTCCTGTGGCAAACCTTCCTCTTTGTCTGCAAATGGTGTGCATCGACGTTGTGGGGGGGAGGCAGCAAAAGGAACTTCAAAGGCAGCCTCTGAATGTATTCAAGAATTTAATGTGTCACTTACTGGCCCTGGCCCTTCCATGGGTCCTCTCCAGAAACCTCAAAATGAGGTTGCTGTTATTGGCAGAGGACAGCTTACACAGCAGGAGATCTATCCACAGTTCAGTAATGTCATTGATGGGCGAACTGAAGGCAGAGGGAGCAGAAAGGCACCTGTGGCTACTCCTGTGCTAATCCCCAAGGGGGCTGTGTTAAGGGTTCTTAACTCCTCAGAAGATGCTCACATCATAGAGGCCACTTGTGATGCGCCTGTTGCCATTCCTTGCAGTGAAGCCTGTCTACCACAACCAGGCCCAGTCTGTCTTCTGAAACAGTCAGACTCAGACTTACAGCCTTTGATAAGTGAAAGGGGCCCGATAGACATGTCCTGGAGTCTCGAGACCTCTCTCCGCCCCAAACCAAGAAAAGAGGATGCTGTCTGCAGCAGCACCTCTAAGAAAACTGGCCCTCTGCATGGGCAGCATGGGAGGCTGCTCTCCAGAGGTCTTCCTGGAAGCAGGAGTAAGACCAAGCAAGTGAACTCATCCAAAAGGAAGAGCAAGATTCAGGCTGAGGCCAGCCGCTGCCTCAAGGATCCTTCCATTTTTCAGGTTGCAAGACAGCTTCGACTGGTAGCAGTTAAACCTGACCAGTTGATTAAATGTCCCCGTCGGAACCAGCCCGTCATTGTGCTGAATCATCCCGATGTCGACTCCCCGGAAGTGACTAACGTGATGAAGGTCATCAACAAGTACAAAGGCAATGTCCTGAAGGTGGTCCTGTCTGAGAGGACTAGGTGTCAGCTGGGCATTCGACGACATCACCTACGGCTCACATACCAGAATGTGGAGGAAGCTAGCCAGATAAAGAGGCAGATGATGTTGAAGATGAAACTGAAAAAGGTTCATAAAAACAACTACCAGGTGGTGGATTCCTTGCCTGATGACTCGTCCCAGTGCATATTTAAGTGCTGGTTTTGTGGGCGGCTGTATGAAGACCAGGAAGAGTGGATGAGTCATGGCCAGCGGCATTTGATTGAAGCAACTAGAGACTGGGATGTTCTTTCTTCCAAGGGCAAATAAGTAAAAATTTGGCATATGATGCAAGTTGTTTTTCATTTGTTGGGGGGTTTGCCCTTCCAGATTCAGTAGGAGAAATCCAGACTGTAGGAATGAGAGTTGCTAATTCTTTAGAACCCCTGTAGGAATGTCAGGAGCCCTTAGCCCGAGCTCAGGGCTGGACCCTAGGAGGTGTTAGAAGGCCCCAGTTGTCCAAGGGGATGCAGTTCTCTAGAGAAAGGATATGAAACTCAGATTTTCAGTGGTATTGGATGCTTTTGTTTAATCCCCATATTTCTGAGTAGATATGAAGCTTTCACCGTCCTTTGAGGGGGACAAATTTAGAATGCTTCACACACACCTATAAATGCTACTGAATTAAGTACATTTTTTTGTGCACATACACTTTAGTTTTTGCTTGACTCTTTCTGGAATATTTGTTACATAATAGAAACGCAGCAGTATCTTAAATTTAGTTATTAAAAAATGGCCATCCTTTAAAAAAAAATGGCCATCCTTTTAATCACTCCCCATTCTCAATTGTTCATTTTCTGTGTAGCACTGAATTTTCCTTTTCTTGGCTATTTTAAGGACTAATTTCAAGGATTTGCCTGTTTTTACTACTTACACAAATGTAATAACATTCATAAAACATTTTACTCTTACATTCTTATAAAAATCTTGACTTGTGACAGCTGGGTAGGGAATGTGCCTTTTAAAGAAAAGTTACAGAGGGAAAATATCTAAAAGAAAAGCTCTTCGCCTGTAACACTCCCACAGAATAAATGGCCAGATGAACATGGAAAGGAATAGTTTCCTACAATGCAGGTAAAACCCTTGGGCAAACAGTTGAAGATAGCCTTGTAAAGCAGGCTGTAAAGAATCTAATCTTAGTTTTCACCTAGGGCCTCATCCAGAAATGCAAGGTGTGGCCTCCCCTGGATCACTGGGGACCCAAATGCTGGTCACTGGGGCCAGTCCTCCCCTTTGCCTGTTTTTTCTCAGCAGGCTCTGTGGAATAGAACAGCTTCCCATCTCTTGATTCTTTCCTTCTGTGCCTTTGAGGTGTGGGAGAGACTGTCCCTCATGTTACTAGAAATGGGCAAGAATCCCTTTCTATCTGCAAAAGTGGATACCACCCCTGGTTTCCAGTGCCAGTAGCCACCTGCTGTGATGTGGCTTGATCACTCTCACTTCCAGTGCTCATCTTTCTTGAGAGGACTTCTGCTCCCCTCCCACCCGTGGACAGCAGGTCTTACTGGCCTGCAGGGCACCTACCTGTGTATGAGCAGCTAGACAGCATGACGAACAGTTCACACCTGAGATTGAGTCTTCACTAGGCCAGGCACCTGGGCGCTGAACACCAAGCAGTGGGTGGGACAACTCCAGGCCTGCCTGCCCTTAGAGCTCTGCTTGGTGCAGTGACTAGCGGGGGTGCGATTATATCGGAGAATGCCCCCAGTGATTTTATCTTGCTTAGTAATTAGTGGGAGGCTTCTCATTCTGTTTCGTTTTTCATGTGAGAAAGTCTTAGCTTACCCTATGAGGGGTGGGATTATATTCCTTTGAAGTTTTTTGTCACGAATACTTGACGTTTCTTCAGAATAAGATGGTTAAGTTGATTGATTTTATTAATACATTTTTATATATGTGTGTGTACACATATAAGTATTTTATACCACATGAAAATTGCAATAGCTAATTTTCTGGTTTCCTATTTTATAATGTTACATGGGCTGGAAAAATGTACATTTTTATATTCCAGAAATTATTTATTTTGGAAGTACATTTTTATAATGGTTTGATCTCATTTTTAGATGATGAAAGCACAGTAAGTGATGGGGTCTCATTTGTATGAACAAATAGGAGTAGAAACCTCTGTGGGTCATTTTATTACAGAATCCAGTCCTTGTTTTTATTTGGTGCTTTGTGGCTGGTAGATGTTGTTGTACCACTTCGCTACATGAGGAAGAGCATCTTAAGGTTTTATCTATGTTACGGACGTGTACCCTCCTACATGAAAGAGACCTAAGATGTGGAGAAGGGGAGAAGAAAAGCCTGTGGTTTTTATTTTATTCTCCTATACCTCACCACTTAGCGTTTTCCTGAATGGCTGGGCTGAGAGCTGGCCAGGTCAGAGTATTTAGCATCAGCTGGAAATATTTACATTTCACAGTATCAACTGTTGCTTCAAGTATTACCTAAAACACATCTTGAGTACTTAGGTGGAACTGAATTACTGAATTTTGTGAGTAGACTATGTAGCAATTCTCTTGGGGATATTCAGGACTGTAATACTTTTTAAGGAATTAAAAGGTATTCGAGAGTCAGAAAAGTGGGAAAGCAAGAGAAGCTGTCTTCCCTAAAGAGCTTTAGAAAGCTTGTTAGCACGTAGGAAATGTCATGAAGTGAACACGTTTCTAACAAAATCAGAGAGAGTAGGGGCAAAATTGTATGGAGTACTTGTGTACTCTGACCGTAATTTTGAAGGATCTCTGGTCACAACATGTTAATAGTACTAAGAAAATTATTTTAAAGTTATTTTTTAAAGTAGGTTTTCTTACTTTTGGGGGCCAGAAATGAGACAACCTTTTACCTATAATGAGACAAAATTTTTTTAAAACTTACCAACTAAGTGTACTCAATAGATGATATTTATTCAAATTTGTATCCCTGGTCCGAAACATTTTGTGAGCCCTTCCAGGGCTGGAGCTGTCTGCTGAGCTAAACTGAACCATCGTATTAACCCTCCAAAGCTCCAGGCCTCTCGTTAGGACTTTTTATTATAAGCCATCGCAGAAAATGAAGGTGTAATGCTGCTCAGCCTTTGGAAAAACTTTAGAATCTGTGAATGTCTGTATGAGCAGAAAATAAAACTTTGTAGAACACATTAACCATTGTTATACTCCTGTGTTGACTGTCTGCTGCTCTGGTTTTGAAACACGTTTGTATATAGATAGAGAAGTTGGAGTAAATTTTGTTAAATAAAGTTAACTGTTAAGATTTTTTTCTGCCCTTTCATTTCAGTTGTTCAGCAGAGTGGACATTTATCACACAGCCTAGCTTGTGTGACACATTTCTGAAGCACACAGAGCCATCCTTCTACCTGACTTGGGTGTTCGGAGATTTTCCTGGGTGTACTTTGGGTTATAGGCACTTCTGGCTGGTTAATTGTGTATAACTGATAGGAATCTGGGTTACTGTTTTGTTTTGCATTCACTTGAAATCTCAAGAGGTGCTGGTTTGGACAAGACTGGAGATTCTCCTGCAACAGCCAGTGGCCTCAGCAGAGAATGTACGTGTGCACGTCACCTACCATTTGTGGCTAGCCTCTAAATGGGAGGGGGAGAGGAGGACAGCTCTGCAGCAGCCCGGCCCCCTGGACCGTGAGAATGTGGCTGCAGTATTGACGTCATCCTTTGTGTGTAATTTCACATCTATGTGGGAGCAAGGAGTATGGGTACTGGAAGAGTGCTAGTTGGTATTTTGATCTCACTGTGAGATCCCAGGCAGAGAGAAAGGCAAAACCAAAGGAGACGATTGGACTTGAGAGCTAGAGGAAGAGAGATGTGAATTGCTCAAGTGCAGCAGTTTATACTGTGAGTTGAAGCGAGTCATCCTTGAATCGTGCAGGACTCACCCAGGAAGCTGTTATCTTTGCCAGTGGTAATTTAGAAATTGAATAAGGCTGTGGGAGCCTTAACTATTTTAGGCATGGACTACTAGGGGAGGCTGAGGGCAGCGGACAGGGAATAGGCAGAAATGGACGTAAAGGCCACACAACAAGGAAGTGACTGTTACTAGGAAAATCTGCTTTGCAATATGTAGAATCTGTTGTCTGTAAATCTCCAGCATCCCCAGCAGACATTCAGGAGAAGGTGCCATGTGAAAGAACATAGACAAGTGATGTGCAACAAACAGGCCAGCCACTTCCTGAGATGAGCAAGTCAAGTGCAGCATGATTCACTCAGCCCAATACGCTTAGTGTTTTCCATCAGCGTAAGACTTACAAAGATGCACATACTTTTGTTTACAATTTTAAAAGTGTGTATTACACGTTTTGAATTTGATGTTAAATTTTCAACTAAAAGCAGTCCTGTCGTTAATGGAAAGGTATTTAACACTCTTTTGAACAAAATTATAAAATTGTATACAAAAATTAATAGAATGTAGATAAAATACAGAAGTACCCATAACACTTTCAAATTTTATTTTTTTTTTAAATTTATTTATTTGAGAGAGAGAGAGAGAGAGAGAGAGTGTGTGTGTGTGTGTGTGTGTGTGTGTGTGTGTGGTGTGTGTGGCCAGCTCAGCCCACCAGGGGGCGGGGCTGGCTGGCATGTGGTGCTGGGGGATTGAACCGCGGTCCCTGATGCTTTGACTAAGCTTGTTTTAAGTAGGTGCTTTAGACCACTGAGCCATCTCTCCAGCCCCTCACTTTCAAATTTTAAACGTGCCTAAACGTTTAGTTCCTCTTTCACCCTAGGGACATGTCAAGTGTGCATGTGTTTAATGGCTTCCACACTGAATGGTCCAGGAGGAAGGCAGACTTGTAGGGAGCACTGGTCCTTCACTGTCTAAGACTTCACTTCAGTAGGCTAGGCTAGGCCTCCCTGACTCACGCTTTTGGAATACCAGTTCTGTGCCAGCTATATTAATGGGCCAGAAGTTCTGTTTGTACCTTAGAAAATGTGTTGTTGCTCTTAGTGATTTTGAGGTTTATCATTCATTTTTCCCATGCTAGTTGGTCAACCAAACAAATGTTTCTTTTTCAAACGTAGTGCATGTGTATTTGGGGTGACAAGGGATTCAGTTCCCCACAGTCTGTCAGGGACCCAGACTCTCACCTCCCTCCCTGTAGCTGCAGCCTGGACCACTGGTGTCTCCTTCCCTGAGACAGGGGCAGAGCAGGAGGAGAGGACCTTGCACAGTGGGAAAGTAACAGTGCACACCCAGTCACAATCTCCTAAAGGTGAGCTGTGCGACAGCATCCAGATGTACACGGGAGCAGAACAGCAGTGTGCTGCTCAGCACTGCCGTGCCCAGCGTGCTGGTAGTAGCCGGTACACATAAGGGAGGCATAAAGGGCAGCTGTCTGCAGAGACTGACTCGCCCGTCGGGCAGCTGGGACGTGCTAACAGTCTGCTGCGAGTTGGTGGCGATGCAGAGTAGTGGAAGCTGCAGCACAGCCGCCAGCCGCGCCCAGCTTGAAGTGCACCGTCAGGTGCGCTTGCATTTCTGATTTCTGCTGCAGTGCTCCACCTTTGCAAGCAGTTACTGCATTTTCTGTGAATGTCCCACAGATAGCTTTTGCTACTAAAATACTCGTTTGCAACTTTTTGAAAAAAATGAATCTTCCTCACTTTCTGTGCTTTTTTGTATTTTAGAAATCTAAAGACAGCCTTTCATGTTAAATTTGATAACAAAAACAGTTTCACATGACAGAACACATAACAACATATATACTGTCACTTTTAAGCCTAGAGAAATCATTTTCAAATGGGTCTGGATCTAGATTTTTTCATTTGAAAAAGTCCCTAATCCAGATTAAGCTGATAAGTTCACAAGACCTCTGCCTGTGCACTGTTCACGCCTGTGCCCATCACCCATCATGGGACGTGCAGGCGTCTCCCCATGTGTAGTGTGGCTTCCCTTCTGGGACTCTGACATGCAAGGCTCTGGCTGCATCCCTGAGTGGCTGTGTGAAACTTGTGTGAAGCTTCTTCCAAGGCAGTTCTAAAAAGAGGGTTCCTATTGACAGGTGTACATGGAGAGACTTCCAGCAGAAGATACTAACCTGTAGCACTCCTCCACTTTTCTGTTCTTGCTCGCTGCTCTTCCTTATACATGTGAAAATCTGCCGGTCAGGCCACATTGAGATTTTCATCTGAAGAACATTGAAATTTTAGATGCCTATGAGGAAGATGGGCATAAATGGCCGTGCCCATTTAGCTTGATAATTTGCTTTTAAAAGTAATAAAGCTCAACCAGACCAGTAATATTTCATAATTCATTCCCTTCATTTTGAGGAAAATGCCTCATTTGCAACCATAATGAAAGCCACAAAAAGGAAAACGTCATGTCATTTGCAGTGAGTAGCTTCAGCAAGATTGCCAAATGCAAACTCAGTGCTTTCAAGTGACTTCCCGGGCACCAGCACATCAACAGCTCAGCAGAAATGTTCCCCACTCCGCCTCCAGTTTACAGAAAGTCCTACCTGGGATAATGTGAAACTAACGATAAAAATGGGTGCCTTGGGTTTTCTATGCAGACCAAAGACTGACAGTGTTGGAAGAGAGAAGCAAGTTAACTTTCACCATTTCAAAGAGGGTACTATTTGCTGTAGATCGTTGGAAGATACTCTGTTTAAGCTAATTCTCTTCCATCAGAAACTGCTTGGATTTTTCATAGCTATACTTACTAAATTTATATGACTCAAGGTACTGTTTTTCTTCTTTAAATTCCTAATACTGTGCATTACTTAAATTGATTTTCTCATTGTGAGGCCTCCTTTATCCCCAGAACAAAGCCTATTTTTTGTGATGATCTATTTATTTTATTAATTTTATTGAGAAATAGCAATGAGACAGTTTCAAAACCGATTAGTAGGACAGTTTCAATAATTAATGCATTTCATATTGTTGTCTTTGTAGTGGTTATTCTTAGTATAAGATGCAGCCATGATATCCTGTTCAAACACTGTTAGTACAAATCTTCTCATTGAATTAAGAGAAAGTAGCTGTATATCTATCCTATTTTGTATATACAGATACGCAATGGTCCTTCATTTGTATCCCCTTTTTTTGTTTAGTTTTGTCAGAGCTGGGTATTCCATTGCCATTTAAACATTGTAGGTGCGTGAATTCAGCAAAATAATCCAAGATAGTCCAGTAGTCCATAAAAGTAGTGGGTTTTCTGTAAGACTGGCAATGTCAGTTGTTGACTTGAGTCTTTCACAGCTCAGCATACTAATATGGCTTTACTTTTTACACCTCGTTTTTATACTTTTCTGCTGGATGGTTAAGACCAAGATAAAGCAAGACCTATATAATAAGAAACTAACTTTTATACATGACAAGGTCAGTCAAATCCCATCAGGATTTACCCTGAAACCGGCAGTGATCTATTTGTGTACATTCCTGAGTATGCAGTTTTTTTGTTTGTTTGTTTGTTTGTTTTTGCAGAACCGGGGATTGAACTCAGGTCCTTGCACTTGCCAGGGAAGTGCTTATTCTACTGAGCCATCTCCTCGGCCCTGAGTGTGCAGATTTAATCGTAGCATTTTTATACAAGTGATATTGGCCTCTCATTTCCTAAGTACTGCCCTTGTTACTATTTTATTACCAAGATTATACTACAACCTATAGCATCAGATGGGCCACTGTCTCTGTCTTCCTGTCTTAGGCCAACTGTTTGAGAGCACGCAATCAAGTCCTTGCCATGGTAAGCCACTTGCCCCCAGTGACACATCCTGGCAGAGGTCTGAGCAGTGAAGGAGAAACATGAATGGAGCACAAGGGAGGTTGAGATCAGAAAGCCTTGAGAGCTGATTTGATTTCTGTAATGGTTACATGTTTTGGTTTTTTTTTTTTTTTCCAGTTTTTTGTTTTCATAAAGCTGATTTCGCTACTCTATTCTGTTTGACATCCCTAGGGGAAAAAAGTATAAGCAATAGTTGTGTTTTTTGGACATATAAATGAGAGTCAGGTAACGTACCTTTTATTTTATGGGACCCATGGGTCCAAATGCCACTGCCTTAGGCAGCACAGATTCCTAGCATAGCAATGAACTGTGCTTCCTAATAAACTACCCAAGGCCCAGTAGCCTCAGTTTCGGAGACCGCAAAGTCCAGCATCGCGGTGTCAGCAGATGGGAAATCCACGAGCGCCTCCTCACTGGATCACAGTGTTTTCACGTGATGGGCACCTTAGTCATTTTCCTGGGCACAGCACCCATGTCGCAGTTTAGGAGGAGAGGTGATGTTGGCGCACACCTTCAGGGCATGGC